AGCGAGTAATACAAAAAGGACAGCTAGTGGAAGGATGTCTGGACGACGGTATCAAAGAGCCAATAAGCATTTATAAAAAACACACATCATCCCCTTAAAAACATGGTCCATCTTCCTTGCCAGCTAGCCATTCTTCTGCTCCCTCACAAAAGTGAACCCATCAACAGCGTACCACAGCAACGTCAGCCCAGCGTTTGCTCCAGAGTACCCTTTTTCCCGGCTTCTACGCACTACTCCCGCTTAAATTATATTCAGAAATAAAATAGACGATACAACATAGACACAAAAAGGAACGCATTCGAAGACAACTCTTTTTATTCCATTTTCTTTATTCTTGCTTTCTCGGTTCAGTCGTTTCTTCTAATCGCTGTCGAAGAACTCCACTTCTTGGAAAGACGGCATTTCGTAACTGTCTCCTTGCATTGCACAGCTCATCACCATTTCCTCTTCGCCTACCAGATAAGCACATCAGACCAACAGATGCAAAGAGTGTACGACAAAGAAATCAATATAATATTGCTTTCCCAGGTGGCACACGCAGTCATTGTTATTGGCCGAAAGCGTGTACCACTTCGGGAAATCTCATCAAGTATTTGCCGAGCTTCGACATATGAACTAAACGAAAATTACCATCAGTAACGGATTCTTCCTTCATCAAATGGTCTTCCAACGAAACTCCTTCATCAGTGGAAGCGCTGGTGGTTCGTGTCATGCCACAAGTGGTTGGTCGAACTTGCTCGAAGGCTTCTTGTGGGGCGACGTAGAACATGCCCGGTCGGGAGAAGCCATTGAAGGTGGACGACGCGGCGCAAGTGTAGGCGCCCATATCTTCAAAGATGAGCCACTGGCCACTGTCCATTTCCGGCAACCAGCACTTGGCCGAGATGCAGTCGATGCCGTCGCAGGTTGGTCCCCAGATAGAAGCGCGGTGCAGTTCGGAAGGAACGTAGATGGGTGGCACTTTAACGTCCACAGTGGCGTGGTCGTACAGCAGACAGTTGAACGAACCGTACACCCCGTCATTGACGTAGTACATGAACTTGGGACCATCTTCGTCTTGGGAGACCTGGGAAATAAGAACGTTCGAGTCAGCTTGCTATATGGCACCTAAGCAATGCAGGCGGACAAATTCAAAACTCCTTTTCCAAGTGGCGCACGCTTCCCGTCAACAATACTAACAACGTGCGCCACTTGGGAAAACAATCTAACTCAACAGTATATTCATCCCAAGTGGCGCACGCTTTCAACTGACAACAGTGAGAAAGCGCGCTACTTTTGTAAAACAGTCTTGTCGAGTTCCTTTGCCGTTTTACACTTCAGCTGCGATTGTTATCATAATGTTGTACCTGATCAGCTTCGATGACACGCTTTGCCACGATGTTAACGCAAAGCGTGAAGGCCGATGCCGCAAAAAAGCGTCCAGGTTCGGCGATGATGCGAACGCCAGACTCTTGCGGAAAGTATTTGTCCAAAGCCGGACTGACTTCATCCACAATCTACAAAGATCGGCAAACACGTAAATCCAGGTTCTGAAACTGAACTCGTATGTATTCAATGTTCGGATGTTCAAAGTCTTCCCGGTACCTCTTGGAAAGTAATGGGTGCTCCCTGTTGACCAGGGTAGCCCCCACCAATATCCAGCATGTTCAAATTCATTCCGATGGACTCTGCGTGTTCGAAGACTTCCTTGGCCCATGAGATGGCTTTACCGTAGGCCGAAGCGTTGGTACAGCCGCTGCCCACATGGAAGCTCACTCCGATGACGTTCAGCTGCAGGTCTTTTGCCACTCCGAGCAATCGCTTGGCTTCCGGCAACTTTGCACCAAACTTGATACCTGTCAAAAACCACCGACCTTCAAATCTGCATGACAAATACGTACACCACAAGAACGTAGGCAAACAAACTCAATAAGGCTGCCCCAAGTGGCGCACGCTATCGACCAATCAAATTGAGGAAGTGCGCTACTCGGGAAATAACTTGCCGAGTGCTGAGTTTCAAAAAGCTAACTCTGAATGAGAGGAAACTATGAAATTCAGAAGAGGGAGGTTCTTACCGAGATTACAAACGGCCAAAGGGTCGTCAGCGCGAATTCGAAGCACCAGTTCAGCTTGAGGGAAGAGTCGTTTGATCTTGTGGAGTTCGGGTTCGTTGTCGAAGGTGGTCATCTGGACGTTGTGCTCGGCAGCATAGTTGATATGGGACGCCGTCTTGCAGGGATGAGCAAAGATGATACGTTCAGGCCCCACACCCAAATTCATCACCTTCGCAATCTCGGCCTTGCTGGCACAATCGAAGCCCGTTCCCAGAGCGGCCAGAGTTTGCAGGACGCCCAAGTCATCATTGCACTTCACCGCTACAACAGCGAGAAACTCTTGCTCAGATCGGAATAGTAAAAGTTTGACGGAAGTAATTTACCGTAGAATGGTTCGACGCGCGGCAGCTTCTCGCGCCACAGATGAAACTTGCGGACGACATCTCCGAGGTTGACGATGTAGAAGGCGTCATCTTTACCGTGGAGGTCCGAATGTTTGATGTGTTCATTGACAAAGTCTTGGACGCTACTTTGCGAAGTATCGAAGCTATAAATGGTTAGTGAGGAATCACCGGCGAGTACAGTCTCTTGGTTGGACAGCGAAGAATACAGTTGCATCGCGTTTGGTCGTTGAGTAACGGACCAAACGGGTAGTTTACAGAAAAGAAGGAATACGGATCAGGTCTTCACTGAAGCAGGAGGGTACGTGGAGCTAACCTGCAGTTACAACATAGGAATTTTAGAGGGGAATGTTATCTGAGGAAATATTTGTGCGCGTGTTGCGCTTACGTTGGCGACGTGTGTGGTACGCTGGCAGGACGGGGCCTTTCTTCGTTGTGTTCTTTATTTAGTTAGGCACAGGACGGCGGAGGTTCCGGACAGACCGAGTAATTCTTGTGAATGTTCTGGAATCCGCTGGCGCTGTTGTAGCGAACTCGACGGGCACCGCCCTGCAATACATAGAAACAAACAACCTTGTATCAACTCGTCACCTCGAAATTTGGACTCTAGTCACTTATCGTGACTTTTCTATCTGGGTAATTATGCCCTCGCCAGTCTTCTTTCGCCATCGCTCATTAGCGGGCGATGGGCGACTTTGCTAAGCAGACATCCTCAAGGCTAAAACTAAACCTGCCAGCCCAACGTCGTCGCACAAGTCTAAACCTTGTATTCCACGTGAAGAGCGTGTGAATTAGCCTGAAGAGTAGAAACCGAGCCTATGCTACATGGTAAAAACCGGGTGCAGTGACATCATATGATGGTTTCTACGAAGTCCGAACCCAGCTCAAAATTAAATCTGCCAACAGGAAAATTCAACTTGTTTCGCAACTCGCCGTTTCCGCTTTCCCCGTCTTTCCCTCGACCTAGACAACATCACTCCTCAGCAGGGCACATCGTAATGCGCCCATCCGGAAGAGGAAACTGTTAGGATAGAGGAAAGGAGGCCAACTCGAAGAGGTACCTTCGCGTGAACGACCTGTCACTGGGTCAATCAACGGCGAATTTTTGATCTGGTCATAGTACGAAATACGGTTTGAACCTCGGTTTTCTTACCTTCTTGATGAAGAAAACCTCCGCTCGATAGATGGGTCCCTGTCGCGAAATTTTCAAGATGTTCCTGGCCTGATGGAACGCCCGTTCGGCGTTAAAATATGGGGAGAGATTTAATGGCTTCCAGTACGTGGTGGCTGTGTAATGAAACTAAAGTTTGATCCGAGCGACCAGACGCTTTTATACCATTACCATAACGATGAACTGTGACGTCAGACAGAGAACATGGTGCAAAGGACTGTGATTGGATGCCTTTAGAGGCGGCTCTCATGGTGGCCCAATGACCACCCTTTCAACGCTGCGAGTTCGCGCTCAAATCGGTAAAAGCCCCACCCACCGTCAGCGCATTTCTGTGAACCTGATTTACTCACCGTCTGGCGTTTCCTGTGCACGGAGCCTTACTCACGGGGTCTCCACCAAGTACCCATTGTGGTGATGAAAAGATCGATCACATTTTCAAGAATGTGTTTCTTATCGTTAATATTATCACGAAGCGCCAGTAAATTAAATCGTTATATATTTGAGAATATTCGGTATTAAATTATGTCCGGCGCATAGTACGAAATATAGTTTTCGCACTTATCACTAGAATCAGTGTTCGCGAGCACGCGTCGATCTGATCAGCTGTAGAGGCCAGTGCCGGTGGGAGCGTCTGGGGCATACCGTAGACGAGGATTCAAACAGTGGGTCTGTTTAAACGAGGTTGGAAACCGACGCACGGCACATCATGTACAGACGTGCGATAAACTGGATAAAGTCACGGTTTTACTAATTGGATATCCGAACGATCATTTGTTTAGTAGAATTGTTTTACCTGGAAAAAGTACAGTGCTATGTCCTTTATTTTCTTTCTTTTACTACAGCCTGCTGGTTCGACTTCAAATAATTTTTAAAAAAACAGTAAAAGTCGGCTCCGGGAACCGCTAATTTAAATTAGCGTGGTAATGTCGATAAAGCCGGTTTTGAGGGGTAGTTTTACTTCTGCTTTTACTAACCAAAACAACACTGTTAGTCTTCACTACACTTCCCATTATAATATCGCAGGGAGTCTTCGGTAAGAATTACAAAATTAGTAGAATATGCTGTCGGCGACCCATGTGGAACTTCGACGACGTGCAGGTCGATCACTGCGGTGACAGTCCGACACACCGTCATCGACACCAAACCCACCGCTCGCCCCTCCAAGGTCTACACTTGACTCTGAAGATAAAACGGATAATGGGTTCATTCGCCCCTCCAGGAATACAGCCAGGTCCTGCCATCAAATTTTATTATAGGAGCCACAGTGCGAAGCCCTTTTAAATCTACTGAAAACTAGGGACTCGGGGATGCCGTGACCTTTCGAAACAGCAGGCCAAAAAGTTAGAGTTAGGCTCCGGTTTTCACGCCTATAGTCACTAGAAGGCAGGAAACATTTCCGATGACTGAGAATTCAACTCAGGACCTGGTGATCACTATGGGGGTACTACAGTCACCCGCTCTACCACTGAGCTATCATCGGTTGCCTCGATCGGGACGAGGGTTTATTGGTCAGAAGTGCAATTTTCCGGTCCGCTATTTTTTTTCGGGTTATCGCGCAAACCAGACGGGCTTTTGTCAGCGACCCTTGATCATCACTACCTTTCTACCATCAAAGAGTGAGAGAAACCAGCTCTGCTTCTATCAGGAGGACTGGCCGTGAGCACAAGTTACAATTGCGATTTGTCGGACAACAGAAAACGGAGGAAGGAACGCAGCTTCCTGAGGGAGTCTTCATCTTAGTACAGTGCAGAGAATCCACCCCTTCCTGTGGTTACGTGGTCTTTATATGACATTGGTCAGTGGTATCCCACTGGCCGATGTCACATGACTACCGGAAGAGATGCTTTCTCTGCACTGTGATTGCAGGTAGTTTCCCCTTTTCCATTCGACGGTTTGTGCCCACATACTGTACAGTCGATCAATCGAATCTTTTCCGACATTAACTTAAGGATCCCCATTTAGACCAGGCTAATTTCAGTTTTGTCGAATTCTTCGGTCAGAGAGAACCTCGTTTACCGCACGGAAGAAAAACGGAGTTGGACTTATAAAGAGGCATGGAGAACCCACCATGCAATTTATCACAGTCAAGAAAAATCACGAAAAAAGGTAAAACATTTCAAAGGGATAAAATTACAATACAGACAGAAGGCAGGCAAGTTCTCAAGGGAAACCCTTGGTTAGAGTGGTAGCTCGAAGTTCATTAGATATGTGCAGCTCCTCCACTTTTATCTTCCCACGATGCATCTCCACCCTAAACTTGGCCAAGTCCTTCCTGGTGACCATCCCCACAACCTACAAAAGTCCGAGTGAATGAAGTTTTTCTTTTCTATCAGCGCAATATTGAGGATGGGTTGTCCGCTGTGGGGAAGTCTCACCTGGTTCCGATTGTTGACAACCACAAGGTGGCGCAGACCAAGTGCTCGAAACAGCTTAAATATCCGAGGAAACGATGTGGTCTAAAAGAATTCCAAATCAATTATCAGCTCGATAGACTTCGTGATTACTCTGATACCGCAAAATGATCGGAGGACACCCATACTCATCAAAAGGGCTTACCAGGTAGCAGATGTAGGGAGAGTGGTTCATATACGGCGTCAGGTTCATAGTGTACCGTCTTTCTTCTTCGGTAACATTTAGACTCTACAATGAAACTTGTCAGGTCTTCGAACAGTTTTGAGAAACAAGCGAACCAACAACTGGTTAAGCGTAACACACACCTTAATTGATGGGAACCGAGGATAGGCATCCCGAAACGTCTGAATGTTCAATCGCTTCCGAACAGCCGCGATATCCAGTCGTTGGTCAAACACTTTGGCTTGTAACAATGTGATGAGCTGCGACCTCAAAATGAGACCGCGCATCTGACCGAACGTGTCGGGTTCATCCGAAAGCTGTAAAGAAAAAAACCCAACATTGAATTTCCTACATATGTCTAACACTGACATAGTTGAATTCACATCCACAAAAGGCTGTTCTTCGGTCCTTTAGCTAGCACCTACCGGATTTCGGAGCTCGCCCTCGTCCACAACTGCGAACCCATTATGGGTGACTTTATGCAGCAAGTCAACTATAGCTCCTACGCTCTCCGTAGTTTTTAGAGTGTACACAGGATAGCTCATCACGTCTTTGGCGGTCAGATGCGACGACAGTGGCGGAGGTTCCCAGTCCAACAGAGGAACTCTTAACAGCTTGATATGAACATCGAACAGACCTTCAGATACACAAACCAGGATCATTCACGTATGCGTATCAAGACAAAATGGATACGGGAATAAACGACATACCCGAGTTGAACCAGTTGCCTATCCATTGCGCGACGATCAAAGTGATCATGATGGGTAAGCCAAATGTGATGTTGCCGGTGGACTCGATAAGGATAACGGTAAGACTGATGGTCATCCGCACTATTCCTCCAAGCTGAGCTGCCGCGCCAATCAAGGCATATCTTCCGGGATCGATAGACACACCAGGCATCAAGCGCATTACTCCGATACCGACTAACCGGCCCCAGCCGGCACCGATGAGAAGCCCGGGAATGAACTGCCCGCTGGGGATCCAAGACCCGCATGTCCAGCACGCGAGGAAGAAGTATGCGATGACGAATGCACCAAGCGTTATCGGCTTGTAAGTTCCTGTCGAACACCCCCGTGAGAAATCAGTCATGAGATAGCCGCAATCAGTAAAACAACAAGGAAGTGGGAATACAGTACCTGGCGCGTCATGTAGAAGGTTCCTAACACTCTTCTCCGAAGTCTGGAATAGCATAGTGGCCATTGTGCTGTATTCTCCATCGCTGCATAGCATCTACGGTAGAGACACAGGAATGCACCTACACGTGACGCGGTACATTGCATTTTTTTATGAAACATGTCCAAACAATATACTTTTTAATGTCCTAAACTTCACTCCAAAGAGTATGTTTGAAGATGTTAAATTTTGTGGGGGGAGGTCTGAATGCCGAGCAGCTGATTCATTGGTCAAGAAAGGGATCGCTGCGACGCTGATATAAAATCCCCCCCCCCCCAGTACCAAACAGATCTGCGCTTTACCTGTACTGTACGCTGCGGAGTGACGTCTCGCATCATTTGGCAATCGTCGATGAAATAGATCAGCAGAAATCCGACGGTCGCCGAAACCGCGGCTATCAGGACTACTTCCAGTACACGAGCCACTCTACTCGTAATGTGTCTGAAAAGATAACACGGATGAAGAAACGAACGCCACATCCGGAAGCGGGAGGTTCTGACTTACTTATGGCGAAATGCTGTCAACCAGACATTCAGGCTAACAAAGATTGCTCCAAGTAGACCTCCGAATGTAGCCATGAGCAGGAATATTGGTATCTCGTAAACCAGGTAACTCATATTGTCCATAACTCCCAGATTAACTAAGCCGGAATTGGACAAGTCTCCAGGTCGATCCAGGTAGACGCCGATGATACTGTTGTAAGTGAAAACAGACACCAAAGAGCAAAAGAACTGCAAGGAATCAAAAATGGAACTTAGAAAATGGAACTGCAAGTAAGCCTCTACGCGATCAACCAAAACAGGCCGCACCGCAAGCAAATACTCACCACTTTCCATGTAAGTGACTGGTTCCAGAAGCTGGCTCCTTCCTCGAGAATCAGAAGAACTCCTCCGACAGGTGCTAAAAGAAAGAACAAAAGCCGATCAGCCTGACTTCATCCGCCAAGACTGAGATTGGATATAACCGACAAAATAATCGTAAGGTTCGTTAGTTTCCGTCTACGTTTGCTCACAATAGTACAATAGTTGCTTACAATAGTACAATAGTTGCACAATAGTACAATAATTGCTCACAATAGTCTTTTGTACAACGGAAGATGCTTTCGTTATAACTACCTCCAAAAGCTGCTGCTATCCCAGCTGCCACGCCCGCTGATACGAAGTCGCGCTTCTCCGCGTCACTGTGATCCAAAACTCAATGACCATGGATGAGCGACCGTGAACAGCACATTAAAGTTGATGGCCCATTGTATGCGAAAACCGACCATTGTCCAAACTCCAAACGCTTACCCCTTCCTTACCTTCGGAAATTTTCAAATACATGAAAGTCGAATGGTCCCAAACGGCCTTGAGAGATTCCCGCTCCGACAATAGCTCCAATGTGGATCATGGGACCCTCCTTACCAACCGCAAGTCCACCAGTCAGCGATCCAACCATTCCGACAATCTTCGCGATCAAAGTCTATCAAAGAGCACCTCAGTCAGAATACGCTCTCATAAAAAAAAACAAGTTCGCCGCCGGATGTTAATCCAAACTGACTGTAAGTTTGAAACAAACGCACCTGAACCCGAAGGAACTGTGGAATCTTTACGCCGTTCAGGAAGCATTTCACCTGAGCAACTCCACTACCGCTCGCAGCTGGGCTCATGTACACCACAATGACACTGCCTATCAGGACCGGAAGTATGTTCATCAGGATCCATAGTCCCAAAGGCTGTACCAAACAGTCCCCCGACTGAAATAGGAAAAGCACTTAAGAATTTATTAGGTATTCGTCATTCTAGTTCGACAGAAAATCAAACGCTAACGTACTGTGGTCGAACATCGGTCAAACAAATCGCGAAGACGGCCGTACTTAAACTCTGATATTTCATCCACAACAATAACGACCATATCCGCTATGAGGGCAACGACGGCGCCGATAAGGAACATCACAAACCACTTTTGTGTCTGTATGCGATTCACTCGCACAAACGTTTGCTGAGCTTCTTCCTTCAGCAGTAGTGTGTTTTCAACCAGATCGTAATCAAGACTCTGCAAGAACACTATGTAAATCCAAACTATACCCAAGTTGACATATATGCGACATAAGCAATGGTACCTCGAAACGGTCCGACAATACTCTCGTGGAGCGTGCTTCCCGTAACGGCGCATTTATGATGGTGGTTGCAAGCGGACTCCTAGGCCTGGAGGAGCTATTGATTGCGTTGTACTGGGTACTCCCGCGCCTGTCACTGGACAGTGGAATATTCTCGCTTTCAAAGTCGAGTCCAAAGTGTGGTCCATTAATGCTGCTGTCTCGTCTGCCCAAGTTATTCACTTCATAATTATCGCTTACGCTTCCTCGTCGTTCCAAGATCTCCAGCTGCCCCTGCAACGGAAAAGTAAGCTTACTTGGACTGCTGGACATAACCGCAGTGAGCTTCTTACCCCGATATAAGGACTTTGATTCCAGCTGACTCTTGCATTGGAATTCCGTCGTGATCGCGGGATCAACAAGGGTGCTGTCTCGGACGATTCGTCCATTCTAATACAGTTCTTAGGTGGGCATTCCCCATCGTTGTCCGAACTTGTTGTCAGAAGACAGAAGGCGATAAAGCTCTGTGCGCAGTGGAATCTCTCGACTTCCGACTATTAGTCTTACGTACGTACTGTATAATATTATCGGTATAGCCGGTTTTATTAGACTGACTTTTTGACTGGCTGTTCAGAACATGACGTATCAGCACGCCC